CCCTTCCCTTCCCTTCCTCTTTCTCTCCCCCTTTCCCTTTCCCGTTCCTCCTTTTCTCCTCTTTCTGTTTTTATGTCTTTGAATGGTTTTAGGCATGAAATATACTTTTTTCCCATAATTTTTTTCATCCTGGCTAATGCTGAGACTGTAATAAAATTGTATTTCAGCTCTGTCTGTGCAATAGTTCCTCCTGTACCACTAAAACCATGTTTGCTCATTAGCCACGAGGGGCTGGCTGTGCCCGAGCACAGCATATTGAGGAAAAAGCACTTTTCAGGACAATGAGTGGATTATGTGAATTTGGGACATCTTCTCTACTTCAGGCTCTGAGAGAAAAGTGATAAAGGTGACCAGAGACAGGGAGCTTGGAGCTTGGAGCAGTGAGGGCTGGGGATAAATGGGACACAACTGCAAAAGAGAATGGGAGAAAAGTCATCAGAAATGAGGTGTGACTGCAAGAGAGAATGGGAGCAAAGCCATCCCTGTGTGCAGGGGGTTGTCAGTGTGATCTTCACCTGAGCTGCTGTTCCTGAAGACAGAGTCCTCCCACAGGGGAAGAAGTTGTTGTAAATATCATGTTGGAATGGGACTGCCCTGCTTTGCTTTGAGATATTAATCTGTGAACCTCAGCTTTTCAGGGTAATGCTGGTGCACCAGGTGGAGAACTTGTCCTTACCTGGCAGCAGATTCTGGAAGTGTTTCCCTTCTCACTGAAGGGATGCTCATGACAGCAGGGCCTGGGTCCATCCCAGGATGGGGATTTGTAGAGTGTGATTCATCAGCTAATTCCAAATATCCCCTCTAAGATGAGGTGAATCCACYTTACTGAGTGAAGTCGATAAAACTCACCGAGCAGAAAGGAGTTCAAAGGGTTCAAAGTTCTCATTGTAGGTGTTTATATTTTGCCARATTATTTTCATTCTTAGTGGTCCAGAGTCTTTTAACTCGTGGAGTAACTGCAGTTTCAGAGRCACTATTACCACATTATGTGGTTTCATTAGTGCTCCTTAGGGCAGAATTTGGTCTCTTAAACCAATAAAATAAGTTTTGTTCTTGTCTGTTTTTGATGCTGGGAATGTTAATGAAGCATTTTCTATTTGTTTGGTTCCCTGATGAGTAATTCCAAAAACATTTTTAAGCACTGTGTTTCTATAGGCTGTTGCAGACATATTGAGTCACTTTTTAAAGCCCAKATTCAGTGAAAAGTGAGCAGATGGGCAGATTTTGCATGTTTGTTGTACGGATTGTGGAGCCAGTCTCTGACAYGGGTGAAATAACAGTGGGATATTTTTAAATTCAGCAGCAAGTGTACACAAAATCTTGAACATTATTCACAGYGGCAACTTAGACTTYGTAYAAARAAGGGAAGATCACAAAGAATGATTAAAKCTGGTTAAAAGAACYTGRTAATGTGAGTCTGGTCACTCCTGGTCACAGAGCTGGGTTTGCTGTTCTCAGGTTGCTGTTTAGGCACAAAGGGACAGGAAGAATTTTGGTCTCAGGGTTTGGTGATCCTGGCTGCTCTCCGTGAGTGACTGGAGCACCTCAGAACTCAGTCTTGCCCTGTCTGCCACACGTGGCCTCTCCCAGATCCTCTGTACAGATCCTCCAAGGTCCCTTTTCCCTCTCTGTGTTAGGGAAGGGCTYTCCTRCCCACACAGAGCTCTTGTTCACCTYTCCAGGGYGAGCCAGGCTCTGGTGAGATGAGCTTTGCTGCAACTCAGGAAATGAGCTTTGCTCAGGAGTGGCAAAGAGCATGATTTGCTATTAATGAGAACRAATCACAGCCCTCAAAATGTTGGTGAACAGGTGTGGGGGTGAGTCACTAGAAAAGACTTGTTGGTGTCTACATTTCTGATGGAGAGTGAAACATCCCCACCCTTCCATCACACGTGGAGGTTGTCCAGGGTGGTGTTTCCTCCTGGCTGGAGAGTATAAATGTATATACAGGTGATAGAAATCCTAAATATATAAATAGGTGATATAAATCCCTCTGCTTGCTTTTATTTCAGCTCCAGCCAGGGCTGCACCCACAATATCCCCTAATTTTGAAGAGGCATTGAGGAGCCAGGACTGTGGAGCTCTGAAGGTCCTGTCTGCCCTCGTGTCTGACACTGTCCCTGTCACACTGAGGTGGTGTTGGCCACTGACAGCACAGAAGTATTGATTCACTGAGTTTGGAACAGACCTCCAAAGTTATYGAGTCCAGCTGTTCCCYCWGTACTGCCAGGGCCACCACTAAACACATCCCCAGGTGTCACATCCACAGGTATTTTGAACACCTCCAGAGATGGTCACTCCACCACTGCCCTGTTCCAATGCCTGAACATCCTCAGAACCCCCTTTCTGAGAAAACAAATTCCCAGAATCCATTCTAAACTTCCATTGGTTCAACTTGAGACTGKTCCTTCTCCTCCTGTCCCTGTTTCTGGCAGCAGAGCCTGATCCCCCCCTGCCCGACCCCTCCTGTCAGGGAGTTGTGGAGAGCCACAAGATCCCCCCTGAGCCTCCTTTTCTCCAGGCTGAGCCCCTTCCCCAGCTCCTTGCCCTTCCCTGGACATGCCCCAGCCCCTCAATATCTTTCTTGTCATGAGGAGCCAAGAACTGACCCGAGGATTTGAGGTGTGGCCTCACCAGTGCCCAGCACAGGGGGACAATTCACTGCCCTGGTCCTGTGACAGCACCATGGCTGGGACAGGCCAGATGCCATTGGCCTTCTTGGCCACCTGGGCACACCTGGGCACACCTGGGCACACCTGGGCACACCTGGGCACACCTGGGCTCATGTTGAGCCACTGTCAGCACCAACCCCAGGGTCTTTTTCCCCCAGGCAGATTTTCGGTCCCTGCATCACACCTGGAGCACTGCCTGGGGTTGGGGTGACCCATATCCCTGTCCTGCCTGCCTTGGCATGGAGTGGGCACAGGAAGGAATAAAAACCTGCACCAGTGGCTCTGTAGGTGCAGGGGTCTGTCACCAGAGTGCTGCTCTCAGGCTGATGCCCTTTCCCTCGGCATCTTCCCTCTTCCCTCCCGGCTGCAGAAATGTTTGCATCTAGGCTATGTTTGCACCCAGACRCCCTGTCCAAAGCACACAGAAAGGTTCTCAGGCACCCCTGAACTTGCACACCATGCTCACACACTTTCCTGGATGCTGAGACAGTCAGAGAGCTGAGCCCAGCYGGAACACCCCAGCTCATATTCCTGTGCCTGTGCTCACAGGAGTGAGCTTCAGCTTCTGCACTGCTCCAACATCCTCTGAGGRACAGCACTTCTGCAGGAATTCAAGGAGCCAGGACAGAACCACATTGCTCTGCACTTTTCAAAGTTTATGACCCAGGACAGAAACAGACCCTCACTCCCCAGGAATCCCAAGCRGGGCCTGGTGTCAGGCTGGTTCCATTTTTTAGCACAAAATGCTTTTGGCAAACCCAGGTAAGAGATTGTGTTTGTGATATACAGGTTCCTGAAAGCCCTGAAAAATCCTTGGACTGGAGAAGAGGCATTTTCTGAAAGACCCAGAGAATTCTCAGCCCTTTGATGACAGCAGTTGATCACCACAGTGGTCATCAAACACACAATGTAAGAATGGACACTTCAGTGCTCAGCTTTTTTTTTTTTTTTTATGGCATCCAAACACATCGATCCAGCCCATTCCCACCTCTTTTTCCTGCATGCATCTCCAGGTGCCAGCTGGCCTGCTGTGCACTGCTGGGAGCCAACGACAAGTCATGAAAGTTATCTCAGAAAGAAGCGGGAAGGATTTGTTTGGCAAAAGAGTCATTTGCCTCCATCCTTCCCTTTTGAATGGCATCCATGAAGCCACGTGGGCAGGAGAGTCTGGTAAGACACAGATTTGGAGCCAGCTCCCRGGAGAGGCGGGACGGGCAGGGGATGTTTAACTGTAGAACACAGGCTTGCGCAGGACACGCACCACGTTGTAGGTGTTCAGCCCCGGTGCGTCGAAGCCCGGGGACAAACCCTTGCGGTCGAAGGGGTAGAAATTAAAGAGCTGCCCGTTCTGGGTCTCCAGTGAGATGGAGGCAGAGCCCAGGTGAAGAACACACGGGAACTCCTTGTCGAAGACGACTTGGAAAACGCGATCTTCCAGGTGGTGGAGCTTGATTGTCCGGTACTTTTCAGGGATCAGCTCTTCCACGTGGGGCCCAAATTGCTGCATGACCAGCACCCCACCAATTCCGACCTTGATCTCATAGAAAGTCAGGTTAGAGTAGGTGTAGTAGCCAACATAAGGGATTGGGTTTGGAGGAGGAACCAAGCTTTTGTCAGCCTCTCTGAATGCCTTCTCCATGGCAGGGATGAGATACTCGTACGTCTGAGTCACAATGTCCCCACCCTGAGGTCTGGGCCCTGCCATCAGCACAATGAAGCTCAGGCGGAGCTTGGGGATGAGAGAGAAGGTTGCTGAGTAACCATCAAGGTCCCCATCCTTCCTGATGACATCGTATCCCAGCTGCTCGTTAATCTCCCAGGGCGTGCCCGTCTTGTTGGCGAAATATTCCACCGAGCACTTGAGCAGCGGTGTCAGCATCGTCTTCACCGTGTCGGGCTCCAGCAGCCGGCGGTGGTAGGTGCCCAGGAACACCATGGCCAGCTTGGCCAGGTCAGCAGCCGTGGAGTACATCTGGCCRGAGGGCCGGTACCAGCCCAGGTCGTAGAGTGGGGCCGGCTGCTGGCTGCCGTAGAAGCCCACGGCCATCTGGGAGCGAATGGGTGCCGTGATGTCGAAGCCGGTGTCCTCCATGCCCAGGCGGTCCAGGATGTTCTCCGAGATCCAGCGCTGGTACTGCCCGTCGGCTGCGTGGTCAGCCAGCACGTGGGCCATCAGGGAGAAGGCGAGGTTGCTGTAGTGGCACCTGGGAAGRAAAAGGAATTGTATCGGGATCAGCTGCTTGTCAATGACATGCAAAACCAGAGGTTTGGTCTCTTTTCTTTTGGGAAAAATTCACATTTTTTTGGAATAGCAGATAAAGGAGAGACAGAGAAAAGCTGTGTGCTGTTGCTGTGATTTGTTGTTAAATCAAGAAAGAGAAATGTTTTGCGCTTTCAAAGCTGTTTAACCCCAATGTGCAGACAGCTGGAGAGGGAAAAGAAACAACCTCTCTGTATTTGCATAACCTGACTTGCTGTTTATAATTGTTCACCATCCATTCTCTTTAAGAGCAGTGTGGAGAGTTCCAGGTGCTCACCTCAAAGGTCTCAAAATCCCAGGTAAACCTCTTTGGGGATTTGCCATGGGATAATCACTTAGGTACCTAAGCTACCTTAAGATGGTAAAAGCACTTAAAGAGCACTTAAAAGCCCACAAAGCAGCATCCAGCAATGTGGAGTCATTAGAGAAACCTGAGTGCTCCAGTCTTTAATATCCATCAAGTGATTTAAGTCTTTACACTTGAATGAAGTTTAATGGCATGAAGATGTGAAGGAGCATTTTTTTTAAACACATTTTCAAAATTCATTATATTTTCAGCCCTGTTGATTTTTTTTAAATTGTGTGAAGCCACACATCTCATTGAGGCCTATTTAGATCATAAATTTGGTGCCACTTCAACCTTTTCCAGCCCATTTAGTTGAATAAAAGCATGATGAGCATAGATATTCTTACCCTAAGAATGAATACATCCTGTATGTAAAACCTTGTATCTGAAATGGAACTGAATTTCAACATAGAAAAATATGTTAAAACATCTGTATCAGTGAACGGGAACTTCCTTTGGGAAGAATGATCTGTTAGCTGGGATGTGTAACCAGGAACAAGGAAAGTGAGTTAAAACTACCAACATGGAAATTAATAAGGCATTAAGAGACTGTGACGGGATGTCTCTATTTATCTTTGTGGGCATCATAAAATAAAGATACCAATAGGGATAAGTTGCAATAAAGATATAAAAATACCAAAGAAGATGATGGCATTAAAATCATAAAATCCTTTAGGGAATATTTGTTGTGGTGTCTTACATGACCTGGGACAGAACTAACACTAGTGATCATGTCTGATTTGTGAGCAAATCATTTCAGACTGTTATGAATTCCCCAACAATTTTGCAGTCTT